GGGGGGGGGGGTCAAAGTACAAAGTGAATTATAGACCTAAAAAGATCAAGACTAAGAGGCAGTGTAAGGGTGTTGGCTGGGCAATGGCCTCAACAAAGATGCTGGCTATCCTCACTCCCCACACACTAACTTGTGACTTGTGACTAAGGCTAAGGCAAAGCAGCACTCCTGTCAGCAATCAACATTTTATAGAGCCCTAACTGCAGAATGTAAATCCCAAGTAACACCCACAAAACAGTCGTAAATGCAATCTACACAACAACACAATCAGAGAACATGTATTAACAATCTGCCACTCGTCACTGTTCTCTTGCACACAGACTCTCAGCAGACCTTGCCTTGTCTGTGATGTGAGAAACTGAAAGGAAGGCGAAGAGAGAGCCTCTAAAAAAAACATGCAAGAACAATACATCATGAGAAGAATGTATGGCAATCTCAACTGATCATAGGAAGTTTTCTCCACACTTGTTCTTTTTTCACAGACAATTCACATCAACATGTAAAAAGCGACCTGCAAAAGTCATCTGTAGACGCACTTACTTTGCAACAGTCGACATTAGGTCCTTACTTTTCTGGGTTTTGTTTATATGTGGACACCTTGGCACACTCTTCTTTCCGGAAGTGTTTGAGTCATCAAAAGAAGTTCTTAATATTAATTTATGTCTGCCGGATAAAATTATATGTATTATAAGTAAGATCTTTTGACACGAGTGAAATTCAAGCACAAAGCTCACATGCATTACGGTCACGTTCTAAAATGAATATAATTATGATATCTATTGGCATCATACAAATTGATTACTTACTGTGCTCCTGGTCCGGACAATTTAAAAGCGTCCCGAAATAGTTGTGAATTGTCTGTGAATTTAAACACTGAATGAATTTACAATTTTATTAGGCTTTCGGTGAATACTTTAGGAAAATAACATTTCAAACTGCGACAAAAAGTCACCTCACCTGTACTTTCATTATAAAAGAAGTTTTAAAACATAATATATAGGGTATTGTGTCACATTTTTGCTATGGTGTTTATGGTCAAACTGCTTTGACCTGTGAATAAAAAGGGTCTCTTTTTAAAAAAAGGGTGAATTCCGTTATCATGAGGTAAATCATTTTTGTATCTCGTGATTTACAAAATAAGGACTTTTTTAAACTCGTGAAGTTGGAAAATCGAATTGTCCTCAAGTTGTTTTGGCAATGTTTGTCCGGACGTGCAGACATTGGCGTATCAATTTCTGAACTAGAAACATTTCAAGGGAGGTCATTCTTAAAATAATTTCTATGTGCTTAGTAAAATAATGAATCAAGACAGAAGCAATTCAATTAATACATAATAATAGTACATGTATTATTT